GCCTGCAAGCGTCGTACGATCAACAAAGAATACAACGCTTCCGGGGCCGGGGTAGGTAAAAGTGTGTCGAAAGGTATTCGCATCTCCCGGCCTGTTGTTTTAAAGGATGGGGTTTGTCTGATAGACGCCTGGATAGCAGCACGGTAAGCCAGTAAACAGCGCGGTGGTGCAGCATCCCACAGCTCAAATATTCGTGGATGATTAAAGCCTTCAGCAGGCCTTTCAGGTTTCGATTTGTGCGCTTCACCATGCCATTGCCCTCAGGGTGATCTGCTGTAGTGCGAGTCCTCTTGATATTCATTATGTGGCACAGCCTTTAAACAAGTTACTTTCGAAGTTGGAACCTTGGTTAATGTGTAGTTGCTAGTGTACAGCTCAGCGCGCGACCAATTCGGTGGACAGCGTTTTGGCCACTGTCCAGGCATCCAGTTTTGGACACCACTTTGTGAAATGATCAACAATCACCAAGATGTATACGTCACCTAGATCCGTTCTGGGCAACGACGAGACAATTTTCATACCAATCAGTTCATTTGGAAACCCAGCCTTTATCGTTTACAAAGGTGTCGGCTCTGCGATCCATTACTTGACCACACTCTGCTCACGACTGACAGAATAGGGCAATATCACACGGCATGTGTCCTGCATGACCTAATTCTTCATGAAGGTGCTTTAAGATTGTTTCGACTCCATTGGTCGGTACGACAATACGACGCAAGTAACTGGGGCTTTTTTGGTAGTATAGGACACCATCAGTCACGCGCAGTGGAAACAGAAGATCCCAAAGACAGCACATCAGATAGCTCCAGGCCGCGATTTCGTCACTGGACCGCCGGTGTTGGTCGTGGAACAGCCGCTCATATATGAGTTTCAACTCGGGACCCGAGGATTGAACCGTGCCTTACTACTCAATTATCGATGAGTGTAAAGCCATCGATAAGACGTTAGAAATCGAGCACAATGGGCGTTCGTCATGACCGCGGATTGGTCGGCGGAACGAAGCATTTGCATTTCCGTGTTGTTCACTCACTGGACGTTGGCTCTCGAAACCGTATTCTTGCAGATACTATTGCCATCTGGCTATTTGGCTCTCGGGATCAACGAAGTTTTGTAAACACACTAGCGATTTGTGCTCGGTTCGGACCAGAAAGCTGCAGCCGATAAGATAATGGTGGAAGTATCGCATGAAGTTTACAAGCTCCAACATTTCCTTGCGTGCTATACAGTATCGCTCCTCTCAATGCAAGAGACTTCGCCTGGCATATGCGGTTACACTTTCCATCGAGTCACCTGAACGCTGAGACAGCGCCACACCAACTGCGTTCTCACTTGCGTCCGCGTCAAGGATAAAAGTACAGCAGACGCCAATATATTCGAATAGGTCAAACTGGGTGGGGAACAAGGCAGTCAAGGATCTGTCTGAATATTTTGGTCTCTTGTTAGGACCAAACACGGGGAGTGTTCCTTAGCAAGAGGGATGTAAGTGACGCAGCTACGAAGCGACGATAATATGAAGCCAGCCACATGAAGCTACGGATCTCATCAGCTGGTTATGTGGTTGGTCACGTCTTAACTTCTTCAATCTTAGTGGGATCACACCGGATTCCGCTGGCTGAGATCAGCCATAGCCCGATTTGCATGAATGGGTCCAAAACAAGTCTTATGTAAGCGCAGTGCTTCAAGACAGTTCTGCTGTTTGCAATGATGTCATCCAGGTAGACTAAGCACTTACCCAGAACCAGTCCATGCAGAGCTGTGTACATGAGGCACTGGAATGTGGTTGAGGCGCTGGTCAATCCAAATGGCATGGTTTGGAACTCATGTAAGCCCGATGCGATCGCAAAAGCGGTCTTGCAACGGGCACTAGGTTGTATTTCTACTTGCCTGTACCTACAGGCTAATTAACCATGGCGCGCCATTTTGCACTACACGTGGAAACAGTAAAGGAGAATCACATGGCGTCTTTTAAAAGATCACGAAACTGGAGTTGGCATGTTGTCAGCATGATTTTCATCAAGGTGATGTTCACATCACGATGCTGACGCGTGATTGTGGAACACAAAATGGGATGGGGACAGTAGGTGCAGAAGTCAAACGTTATTTGTTGCTTCGCAACAGCATGGTGACTTCAGGCATCCCATCTACTTTCTATGGCAATAGGGTGCTGGAAGCGCGCCTTCTTAAAACAAAGTGAACTCAAATCAGAGGATCCATCACCTACGCATCTACGCTCGCTTTTATTCTTGCAGTTTTCTCATCCGGACCAAGCCTTCTGCAAACTACTGTGATTTTACAGGCTTTCCAACTGCAATCTCCGTTAGACCTTACCACAAATTTGCAGGCAACGGTGGACGACCTCTGCGTTTATTCGGTGTTTTCGTACACGGCATCATTATTGCATAAATGCGTAGGCTACACCAATGCCAGCCTAACATTTTGGAAAGCCTTCACGGGCTTTAAAACTAATAATTGGACTACACACTTCATGTGATCAAACCGTTCCGAAAATCTAATTTTCTAGGCAAGCTGCGTGCAGTGGTGTGGGACACGCTACATTTGGTCAAACAAATCATATGACTAGAGTGGAACAGTATAAATAGTTCTCGGGAACAAACTGGATAAATTCAGTCAAGAATGCTGAGACAGCCACTTCTGACACTATCTTGTCTGTGGGTTGTGCTGTATCTCTTTATCATCAGTGAGTACTATTCTCATTTACGACTGTGCTCTTTGCTGAGTTGTACTAATTAGCAACCGTTTTCTAGCTAGTCACAACACGCTTTTGCCCATAACTTGTCAAATACTCTTGGTTAAAGGTAGTGAATTCAACCGGTTTGCAGCTGAAATTTGTTAGCGTTGTGTGGGTTTTTCTCTTATGTTTGCCCACAATATTTGGGTCGGATATCGAGAAACAAAGTTCAGATGTGGTCTCCAAAGTTTAGTCCATTTAGTGGGATACACAGCTGATGCATGTCCGATCGAGTCTCTTAATTCACAGAGACGACGTTCCACGATGACGTCAGCGAAGTAGTAGAACTAAGACACCAGTTGTTTAAAAATAATGAATAATTGTGTAGTTTTTAATATTAAAACGATAACTACAGGACACCGATACTGTATTGGATTTGAATCTTTAGCATATAGTTTGGCACTCTCGCAATATTAAGGCCCAAATAACGCGTATTTAAGAGATCTTTGCCACTCACTGACAAGATAAGAAATAACGTGACGGCTAACTAACTTCACCAACCACTTGGCACCATAATTTTCCGAATCCTCATGATGAAAACCTGGGGAAGGGGATGTAAATCTGAATCACTCTGCAAAAAGCAACCAAGCAACTGGTTGGACCCTTCCTTTCAATATTATAAACGGATCCTTTCAATTCGTCTTTAATAAATGACAATGGTGATAATAACGTCAAATATTCTCATCGATAATGAAGTAACCTACTTGATCTCGTCGGCCTTTCGTATTCGAGAAAAGGGGCCCCGTTCCTGTATGCTTGCAGGACAGGGCAGAAAAAGGGCAATATTCTGCGGAACCATATTTTGTTCTATGAACACTATGTTTCACGCAACCTCAGCGCTGGTAGTTAGGCTAAAAAGCGGATGGTGTACGCTGACATTCAGGTTCGCCTACTCAGAACTAATGTGATGGCTGGTTGTGCAACTCTGAGACTGCTGTTACAAGTCGGGGCTAAATATATCTCTTCCCAAGTCCTCATCGCATGCCCCACACTCAGAATTATTGTATTTCATACCATCGTACACAAACGGTGGAAACGCAATGATCGATTGCATGGTACAAGTAGCAAGCAAAGTCCTGAAGACGACCTTCAACAAGTTTTCATGTAATGGATGCCGATGGCTCCAAAAGACTGTCAGCTCAGTATCGTTTGTCCCGTGAAACCTGAAACGTTAAGTGCGATACAGTCGCCAGTTAAACAAGGTTCTTTGTTTTGTTTTGATTAAAAAGACTTAGAATAAGCTAACGAAGTTGAGAAAGCTAACTACAAATCCCGCAACCTTGAAAAATACAGTCACGAGGTCACTCATGAAACTGATTTCCGACACTCAACTCATAGTTCCTGGTTAAATCTAGCCTGTGAAATCCAATAATGCAAGATAATGGAAACTAGCTGCCCCTGCTGTTCTGTAACTTACGAAACGACTTACCTTGAAGGCTAAATTTAAAAGGAGATTCCGGCACGTAGGGCTGGGACGGTAGATTGAGCCAACCGCACCCGTGTTTTGTCTAGTTTCTTCAATCTCATTTGATGTGGACAGGGGTATTTTGCCCGATGAGACTGTGCTTATCGAATAAAATCATTGTTGAAGGGATTTTCACCTATTCTCTGGATGGTATGTCCTTCCCATTTTCCAACCACATAAAGCCTGTGACGCAGCTCGACGTAAGCTTTTACAATGTAGTAATTCATCTTGACAGGAAGTCACATTTATGCTAATTTTCGTCCCATTTTAAATGCAGCATTTTCTGTATTGGCAATTATAAACGCTGTGGATGCTGTCACGCATTTATCATCGTTTGACCGACTAGCTCAGATTAATTTTGAGAGTTTCAGAATCGGAATGACGAAAGAGCACTTTCCGCTGATTTTTATTAGTTCTTTGTCACCTATACCATATCTGTTCACTTCATGTGCACTCAAAACGCCGAAACGACTTGCATCCGTTGAATTATAAACCATAATATTTCACGAGTGCCGTCGTTGCAGACATCAGAACTTGGCTACCATTACTCTGTACATCAGTCCCGATGCTCTTACGTTATTCAGGAGGACTTGTAAAGGAAATTACCTCTGTAGTAAGCAGCATGACATTTTTTTATTATTCCGCGTATATTTTGTTTGCCGCTCCAATAAAACTAACTGCATATGCATTACTATCTATTCATTACTAACTATATGCATTACAGTTCAAAAAACAGTTGGAGTAATCAAGTTTTTAAACAAATTATTGACTTATTTTTAATGACAGAAACAACTGGATAGGGCGAAAAAGCGGAGTGAAAATAAGCTGATTATTCTTGACTTCTACAACGATCGGTGTGGGCCTTGCAAAAGTATAGCTCCAGTCTATGAACGTCTGGCTGCGGAATACAGGGACGTCGTGTTTCTCAAAGTGAACGGAGATAAAACCAGAGTGAGTCATTGAATTGCTTGGTTAGTATGACTGTTGGAAGTAGACTGACCTCGGCTTTAAGCGAGTGCCATTCTTCTGTAAACCTAGTCAGTATGTTTTAGACCAAGTCTAGCAATTGCTTGATTAGTACGCCAATTACTCCAGATACTAACTTTATTTTCCTTCAGTTGTGAATATGGTCGCAACAGTTTCGACCAAAAAATACTGGTTACGTATTTTTAGATATATATATATATTGTCAGGTTTATTTTTGATATGTATTAATAATCCACTGTTCACTGTTTGTCTCTTTTGGCTAGTCCGAGCGTACAAAAAGTGGAAATCAGTCCCCCTTTGTCTAACAGTCCATAGTAAAACCCTAAGAAGGGACTAATGAATTCCCTCGAAATCGCCTATTGTGGTTTCCTTAATTCATTGAGCAGAGAGTGATTAGCGTGGCCTCTCTCGTTTGCGTGAATACGTACTTTTTTGAAAGATATTATTTCTGAAATATTTTACTCTCTAGATGGGTAATACTGACAAGCTCGAGAAGAACGCATATGGCGATCGATTAGTTGCAGTAATGCAAGGAAAATGCAGCGTAACTTTTTCTGAGTGAGAACGATTCTTGACAGATTGTGACAAGTGTTTGTGACTGTATCTCAGTGACTGCTTCATATAATATTTTACATGCACAGAGGGCATATGCGAACTTATAAAGTTTCCTAGTTAACAGAATCTGAGCCATTCTTGCCGAAAATACCTGTGGTGGATATGAGGTAGAAAGTTTAAGTGCACGACGGTAGATAGTGAGGGATTTGTTTTGTGAAGACTTATAGGTTACGGGCTTATCAAACTAGACAAGCTTAATGTAGTTGAAGAATGCTATATATATTTATTGGAGAGTTGGCCACCTGTATCAGGCCTCTGCGATTCTAGTGGACGATCTGATCTACATCAGAACCAACAACTTTCGTGCAGCATAAAATTTGGCTCCCCACAAACCATGGTTGACCTAAAACTGTGTGCAGACGTTTAGAGATTTGATCACTGTTAGCGTGCGAATCGAAATAGGCGACCAGCTCGTGACGTATGCTGCCATCACCAATAGCTTGTTGACCATTTTTTCGAACACCAAAATGGACTAATATTTCGAGAAAACGTTCCAAAATGTGTGTGGACACACTTAGTTCCACTGAGTTACAGAGTTCTGGTTTTGATATTTCTAGGTGAAATTAATAAAGATATAGATATGGTCAAGTGCACACTGATTCTTCACATTCCGAATGGATTTTAAACCATCACGATTTCAACTCGTCTGTCGCAATCAATTTTTACAAATTTATGGAAATGTTATGGTTGATGTAGTGTCGGAAGTTACATTTTAATTCTCGCCATTAAATGAAAAATGTACTCGTGTTTTTTCTTCTTCCTTGATCTGCCCAGGATGTTTCAACAATATTCGATTTCTACCATTACCCAACATTTATCTTCTTGAAAAATGGGCGGGAAGTGGACTCATTCACTGGAGCCAGAGAAGACGTTTTACGTTCCAAAATCAACCAGTACAAATGAGGGTGAATGTCCATTGCCAAGTGGTCCAAAAAACTGTGTTAATGGAACGTTTACGTATTCTAAAGTGACACTACAAATGGATCAGTAACTTGCTTGCACCGTTTATTGTTGAAACCATTTTTTGCCTTGCCAGAGTAAATGTTTTGTGGTTTCTTTGGGAAATTCGTTACATTTCAAAGTTGGGGCAACATTCGAGGGCTATCATGCACCAATTTTCAACGGATACTCATATTTATGGCGAGAAGATTGAGAACTTCAAGATCGAATCGCCGTGTTCTGAATTTCCTACGAAAAAAACATAAGATTTCGTTCTATGATGCTCTCCAAGTACCATTTAGAGAGATAACAAACTAGCTTCCTAAAAATATGGAACGTCTACCTGGGGGTTTCTTAATATCTTTGAAGTATGATGTTTTGTGGGAATGATCCTGTCTAAATTTCAGTGTATAGATAACAGTATACAGGAACACAACAAAGACAGTTCTGATAAGTGGAAAGCATAAACAGTTTTCTCAAATAAATAGTAGTTAGATTTGGTTTACTGGGATACCCAGCTGGGTTCTAAATACATCTCCGTTCCTGATAATATTTCCGGGGTTTAATTTTATGGTTACGTTAGTAGGACTTACAAGGTATTGCAGTATATTTTCTTGATGAAATTTAAAATGAACCCAAACTAAAAAGTCTCACAAACTTTTTGGATTCATTTGAGTTAAAGCCAAAATAAATCGTGAACAGACTCCGTCGAATTTGGGTTCAAGTTGAACGCAATGTTGACGAGGCCTCATGGCTTGCAGCTGCTTGATAAATTCAACGATTGATGAAATCAATCGTGAACTTTTGAGTAGTCTTCACCAAATGGTGTATAATCTCTTTCACATGGTCAAAACTTCAGGATAGGCAAGTGTTCACTGAAGAAACAGACTCATTCACACAGACACGCCTTGCTGAACCAGTGTGTGTCAGGCATTATTATGAAGCAGTTGATCGAAAGCAAGGCTGGTTGTCGTAAGAAATTTTCAACTACACAATACTGACGCGATGAAATCTGCGCCTTTTCTGCATCAGCCACCTATCAGTAGAGCAAATTATGGAAATATACCCCATAAGGATTTTAAAAGATCGCTGTGTTGTTCAGCTTTCTCCATGATTTCGTCCTGCTAGTGAATCAGTCTACGCCGAAAAGCCGATAAAGACTGTACAGTGGCTTGAAACGTATTGGGAATCGTAAATAATACGCATCTAACAAAAACTCCATGAGTCTCGTACCCTGCGAACCTTGTTTGGTGGTTTGATCGCTTAACCGTGAGGCCACCAAACGTAAAGTTTTTCAGGGACGCGTCTGAATTTAGACATTTTACTAGAGGCGCACAAGCACGAAGTTGACGTTGTGTTATTGCTTACTCAATGTAGGAAATAAGCATGCTGGTAAAGCATAACTCGGTTGACTGTTGGACTCGGCAATTGTGACTGATTTTAGTCACTAGAGCATCCCACAATATTTAACGATGCTACGGTCAATGGAACGTCGCTCGAAATAATTATTTTGGATAACAAACACGTCAAAGCTTTTGGGATGTTAGACGAAAGGATGCAAAACTCTGCTATCCTCTCAGAAGTGGCTAAATTTCTCGACCAGAATTACACCGATTCAGACATTGTTAATCAGATTTTATATCTGCAAATTTACCCGTAACCAATAGCATTTTCCTCGACTTCATGTAGACACTGATTCAGATGGAGCATGCTCAGTAATCCCACAAGTGATTAGACCTTTCATATTGACCTCTGAAATCCTGACTCATTACGAATCAAACGCCCCGGCCATCGTTTCTAGCAAATGGCCGCGGAGCGAGATTATCGGTATCTCTCTGAAACCAAAGACGGTACCGCGTGGTTCCCACATATTACCACAAAGAACAAAATAAAACCACACTGAGGAAAGCAGTTAGGTTGCCCTCTCTAATAATAACTTCACAAAGTTACGCTGTCCATGAAACACACGTTTTCCCTTGCAGGATAATTAGTAATTCGTATTCTATAGAGAAAAATGTTGGTAGCTCAGGTAGCGTAGGTGGTGGTCGTTGGCTTGTTCGCTGAGCTGGGAAATTTGATTGCAAACGTTTCATCACCAATCAAGGTGACATCATCAGTGCGTTATTGTGGAGCGTTTTGGTGCGTAGCGGTGGATTGGTGGTTGTGCAGCTCAGCGAACAAGCCAACGACCACCAGCAATCCGTATTACTTCTCCAGCTTATGGCTTTTCTGTCCCGAATGCTGTTTGATTTGGTCCTTCCACCGATCGACCTGGATAAATGGCGCGCCTCAAGTTAACTCCGCTACAAGGGCATACATAATCAGGATAGACCATAGCATGAGGCGAACTCCAAGCAAGACACTGGGCACAAGAGGCCTAGGCACCACAATATCGACGTTTCTTGGCAGTCAGATCTATGACCTCTGCCGTTACAAAAGGCTGGTTTAAATGTCGCCCGTGATGTACTTCAAATATCTCGTCACAGCAACTTCCTAGTAGCTTAGTTATGGCAGTCCCGAAAGTGAGTATAACCTCCCGAATTGGTGATTTTCTGGAACACTTTGTGGAGTGCAAAAGAGTTTACAGAATTCAATGATTTTTAAGACTACTCATTTGTTATTCGACAACTGATCATGTTCTAAATCAGCACAGTGGCTCTTCCTGTTGACAAGACACGGGTAGTATCTTAGCCGGTGAGTAGGATCATAATATTGCGCCAACAAAACTGAGACTGCAACCAGCTAGTTAGCAATGCATACAGATGGCGCATCTTAACGCCACATATCCTGAGGACTGAAAAACTCGGTGAGGGGAGGGGGACAAACAATATGCCCAGCTCACCGCTCAAGTTCACGGAAAGAATCTTGTGAGAAATTGAAGGCAAAATTTGCCGTCGCGATATCTCGAATACGGTAGCGACTGAAGTATGAGGTGGCAGCACAATCAGTTGCCTGGAAACATCACAGACGAGAGATTCAGCTGTGTCCAGGTGTATCTATCGTAAGAACAAATTAGTTTGAAAATGAGTGTATTTCGCTAATTTCGCGCAATTCGTTTTCAAGCAGGAGTGCGCCTGCCTGGTGAGCCGCAAGAAGAGCGAAACCGGTCATGTGCTGTCAAAGAATTTTCAGCAACCCTCTGAGTAGTTCATTAAGGACAGTGACTGACTATCTGAAGTCATTGGACAATGTCCAACCCACGTCCTAGAGTAGATTGTAATGGGCTCTAGATTACAGACGGATAGCTAATTGACAGCTTTCTCTTGGGGCTTGTTTAATAGCTCTGTATAGGCTTCGTGATATACTGAAGAAAACAGTGGTCTGGTCTTCAAATGTACCTGCCAGCATCGGTGCAGGTGAAGTGACAGATGATTTGGGTGGTAAGAAGGTGGCCCTTTGAAATCGGGTCGGTTGGATTGGCACTTACAATAATACCAAATAAGCCACTTTCAATCAGGCCTTTTAATGGTTCTGCAAACTAAGTGCTTTGGGACCTCTCATTTCGACTATGTATATCTGAATCTAAGGTGGTGTTCTCAAAAATCAAGTCAGATATTCTGTGTACAGTTGAGGAATAGATGTTTCAGTAGTGGCGATGAAACGCGCACTTGGAAGTTTTGGTCAACTATCCTGCCATCTACCTCTCGTCGGCACAGTAGCACAAAGCATTTCGGTCTCAAAGGAGTACATTTTTGGAGAACTCAACCATACTTAACGTGTAGCCATTGGTTCGCTTGCTGAGCTGAGCTGAGGTGCTTGGTCGTTCGCCTTCACAGTGGCTCTAGACCTAATCAGCTGCCGGACCGATTGATGGGTATCGGATGGACTTCTTCTACAGGAGATGAAATTATCTCACAAACGTCTTCTGACTGCAAAACAGGTTCGACAATTACAGGTGCGAAGATGTGTCTGCAGGAAAACTGTTTAAGTAGGGTGGCAGGAATATGAATTATCACTTGAATTTTTCGATGGTTTAAGCGTGCCACCTGACAGGGAGGAAGGACGCAAGACTTTAATTTCAAAGGTACACAGGCGTATATTTGTCGAACCACCTGGAAGCAAGGCAAGGTAATATCCACATCTCGTCACTTATGATTCCCACGGTTCTGATAAAACCAGAAGAGTTACCAACCTAAGCCAGAACGGCTAACGATCCAGTCTTGTAAAATAGCGTGGCAAGCACGGTTCCGTCGCTACTATCTATAAGATCAGAAATTTCTGCAGTCATTTCCAAGTTCTCGTCAAGCAACATTCAAAAGTCAGATCGGTGGACAATTAAGGCAACAAGGTGCCACACTTTACCTTATGTGTGTGTTGTAGCAGCCGAAATTATAGCGAGTCTAAAGTTTTGCTTGTGAGCACTGCCAAATTAGACAAGGACAGGGCACTCGTAAAAAGTGCGAAACGCAAAGTAAAGGTATAATGAATGTATTGTTCAAGGATACGTTTTTTATGCGTGTGTAGCCACAGAAAGATTAATAATGGGGTGCGAGCCAAATAAAACGCCACTCTAGTTCCGACATTCGCAAACGTTTTTGTACCAACATTAGCGTTTTACTAAACATTGTGCCAGGTTCTCAGGGTAAAGCAGCTGACATATATTCCGATAAAATCGAAAAGTCTA